TGACCTCGTTTGAGGTTTGCACAGCACCTGCGTGCCTGTGCCCATCCAGTGAAAATAACCTGGATAAAGGTCGCGCAGCTCTGGCTACACTCTACGAACTCAGTACTAATGACCACGGTCGAGGGTTGCACAGCACTTGCAATCCTCTGCAGGCTCTATTACAATAACCTCGATTGAGCCAAGCATTCGTAACTCTCCGTCTGCGCTCTCTTCGATACTGACCTTTGATACGGTTTAGTGATAATGACCTTGATTTATTGTAACAAAAAAAAACCTCGTACCAGCCAGTCTAAATCTACTGACAGAGAATAAAGCTAAGAGATTCAGTCTCCAAGCTATATGTAATCCGTCTCGAGGTGCTTTTAAACCCTAGGTATGTCACTCGTAAATAATAATGTCACACATACCTCGAGAGTTCCTTGAATGTTTTTGGCGAATAAACCCCCCCACAAGATGCCCATATGAGCAAAATTCATGACGCGCAATTGGTTACTTCAAGAATCTCCTTGGATCTCCGAAAACGGAATTAATTCAGAGGATCCCTTCTCTTGGAGCAATCATCGTTTTCTCCGAGAAATTCTTCACACTATTATTACTTAATCTACTTGTGACGTCACCAAATTAGGGTCAGACTTTTAATCCCATAAATAATGATTCTAAACGACAAATGAAGTTCGTAAATGATTTTCTATCGTTATGACATCACGGTTAAGTGATTAATCATTATTTCCGCAAGTTGATGGTCAGTCGGCCGCATATTTGTTAACTCCGTGAACTATCAACGTAGGCGTCCTTAACGGCTTGATTTCGGCGGACAAAACAAATCGCTTCGCATATTTCACGTCGAAGCATTTTCCTGACTTTTCCTGAACTATAAACGAGGTTTTTCATCCTATATCTCAATGGCACGAGCAAAAACAGCAAAACTTTCGCCAAGTACCTCATGTTTAGGCATATTGAGGAGACGTCACTCCTTTGGAAAACGAAGCAAGCGGGCAACTTCAAGTGGAAGTGCAAGTGACGCGTCCGATTCGGCGACTAGCAGCGATGAAGAAAACAACGTAACTTCTCACAACAGAAAAGGTACTTTTCAGACAAATATGATGCTTTATAATTAGGGTAGAGTTGTTGCATACCATGCATTTATTTTTCTGTCAACTTTTGGAGCATGCGCGCGCTGATTCGCTAACACTTTTGAGCCAAGTAAGTCCAATGATCTCATTTAAGATTTGCTTTGAATTTTCAAACAAAGTCTTTCGTAAATTCTCCCATCAAAAGTTCTTTGTTTGTGATGTAGCAGTTAGAAGACAAACTATGATCAGATTCTCACAACTCATCAGCTGGACAAAGCGCTAGCGGAGGATTAGCAGTTGCAATTTTAAGGTCTTCCTCTAGGACAATGGTTTGACACTCAGGACTAATTTCCGTATTGACGCTCAATTTAAAATAAGCACTGATGTATTGTTCTAATTTATGATTGACTAATTACCATGAATTAGAATTTGCCATGATTGTTACCTAGAAATAATTAGAAGGAGCAATCGTTTAGCAAGCAATTAAAAAAGACACTGTTAGTTAAACGTAATTTGAATTTCATTTGTTCTGCAACACTGGGTCCAGTAGTTACTTGTTTTTTGTCTTGGAGTTTTCGTTCAAGCCAATTTGTGATCCCCAAGTTTGAAATTCAGTTTGAGGAGTTTCTCAGTTTTTATTTTTATCTTCTACCACGTGTTTGACAGTTATATACTTACAGCATCAAGGTTTACCAAAGAGTTGAAGGGAAAGAAGGGTTTGCGTTAAATTTTTGTATCACCATTACTGATTGTTATCTCTAATTCACTAATGATGCGGGTGTTTTTTTGTCGCAACTTTTTTTTTTTTTCGATAAAACCGCACAGGACGCAAGCGAAATCAGGAAGTTGATATTGTACCTTGTAAAAAGAGAAAGCTTTCTGATGAGGATCCAGGTGAAAAGGAAAAGAGTAAGCTTGGTCTTGTCGAGAACAGGATAAGAACGCGGATCAAAGCACATATCAGAGCGAGACTAAAGATAAGAGAGGCGGAAGAGTTGCGCCTTTTGGAAATTAAGGCTCTCAAGGAGAATGGATGGTCCAAACTTATTCCTCATGAGGTATTGCTGAGGATTTTCAAGCAAGTTGTGAGCGACATCGGACCAGTTCCATTTTTGTGCAGGTACGTTTTATTCCTTTTCTATATTTCAATGGTTGTAATTAAAAAGGGCAATAGCTATTTGGTCTCCCCAAAGCGTCGTTTGCGGTTCACACAGAACAATTTAGCCTAGATTTGTTTAGATTATCAACAGTATCATTTGCCGCATTGTTTGTCAACCTTCCCCACACTTAACCAACCTCGCTCCTTTTGGGTTTCTTCCACTTGGTATGGTGTTTCTCTTTCCACTTAAGTGAGATTTTGTGATCACATGTACAGGTGATTTTGTACTTCAAAAAATAAACAGCTAAAAATGTTATCTCATCTTTTT